CACACACACACACACACACACACACACACACACACACAGAGGCACACACACTATTTGGTGAGCTTGGGACCAAAATCAACAGTAAAGATGGCAAGACTCATTTGATTACAGCCAAGAATGTTTTACTAACCAGAAATTTAATTGACACATAAATCAGAGATAATATTGATTATGTTGAAGCCTGGACATGGGAACATTGCTGCTGTGAATTCTCATGCCATTGGATTTTGCCGTCTTTGCATATGCTTCTTATGGTGCTAAAGTTCAAGACCACAGAGACCCACTATCCACATCAAAAGAGGGTTTTTTTGAAAATGACAGGCCACTTTTTACTTTAGAGAAGGAAACTTTCTTGCTACTCTATCTAATTCTTGGACACTTAAATTAAGGAAAATGGGTTAATACTAAGTAAATGTTGGAGACAGGCAGGAGAAGGCTGATCTATTCACTATTCAGAGTCAAATTTCCTATTTGATCAGAGCCAAGAGAAAATGAACACCAGGTGTTGATAATTTGTGAGGCTCTACTTTGTATACACGGAGAGAATAGAGCCAAGTATTTCTAAATTTAAGAGAGGAAAAGAGGGAAGGATGAGAAATGTGTGTGTGTTTTATCACAAAGCAATATCTGTGCTTTTAGAGGAATCTGAAGCGGCCTCTCATAAAGTTAAAACGGGGATGTTTGTAACCTCACATCTCTTTTAACTTCAGCATGTGTAGGTCTCTGCCAAATATCTGCTTCCAATAGAGGTAGAGTTCTTAGAAAAATTTAATGAGATAAAAGATACGGTTAATCTCTGTCCTTTAAGATGCTCCTCTTAATTAAGCTCCACATCTCTTCCCGCAGTTACAGCAATAACCAACCACACCTGAACCCATCTGGTGGTCTCTGTCTTATTTTCCTTATCTAGTTCAATGCTGATCATCAGTCCCCTGGTGTTCAGAACATCTCCCCAGTACTGTGACACCAGGGCAGGGCTTCTTTCCAGAGTCTCACTAAACAGTCCCAGACATATTTAGAAGCTCGGCTTTCTTCTTTCAAATTTATCTTTACAAAGAGGGCACACAGGCGAAGTTTCATTACTCCAACTAATGCGAGGGAAGAGAGGAGTGGATGATTTAGAAAAGGAAGTTATCCTCCTGATAAACCTATTAACAGCAGCATGAGAATCTATATTGGAAGAAATAAAAATATGTAACTGGAAGGTATTCTTAGGGGATCATCTGAGGAATGAAATGAAGTCTTAAAATTATTTCTTTTCCCACATTAATATTTGCGCTCTTAAAAAGCCCTTTCCATTTATTTATTTATGGAAGTAATACCTACCTCACAGGGGGTTGTAGGGTTAGAGACCTGTACTGCTACTGTTGAGGCAGAAATAGAGATACAAAATGGCACGGCATATATTGTACTTAGTCAATACTAACAATAACCAGAGGCTAAAAACTGTATGAACTTAAGAATGTACTCTTTAAAATGAAAGGGTCTGAATTGTTAGACCAGCCACTTGATACCAAAATGATCTCAGAGTTACTGAGGTTTGATTACTTGTTTCCTTCATTTGGAAAAACCAGAACATAAAATTCCTGTGTAGAAGTGTTTGGAGTTGTCATGTTTTAAGAATTGGTTTCCATTGTCATCTTGACACAATCTAGAATCACCAAGGAAGAGAGTCTGAATGAGATATTGTCTAGATCAGGTCAGCCTGTGAGTGTGTCTGTGGGGGCCTGTCCTGACTATGTTGATTGATGCAGGGAGACCTGGCCTACTGTGGGTAGCACCATTGCCTAGGTTTGGATGCCAGACTAGTTAAGAGTAGAGACACCAGGCTGACAGGGAACTTTGCACACATTCCTTTCCCTCTGCTCCTGACTGTGGCTGTGATGTGACCAGCTGTTCAGAATTCCCGGTACCTTGACTTTCTTGCTATGATGGACTGTAACTTCTCCTAAATTACTTTGTGTCAGGGTGCTTTACGGCAGCAAAGCACTCACAGAGGCTAACTTGCAGCTCTCATGTTTCGCTTCTGTTGTGGGACACAAAGCCAGATCTGTGACTGTCCCTAGTGTACCTATTATTTACCTTGACTTTCTTGCTATGATGGACTGTAACTTCTCCTAAATTACTTTGTCAGGGTGCTTTACGGCAGCAGAGCACTCACAGAGGCTAACTTGCAGCTCTCATGTTTTGCTTCTGTTGTGGGACACAAAGCCAGACCTGTGACTGTCCCTAGTGTACCTATTATCACCCTGAACCCATCACATTTTGCTGGTGGATACTAAAACACTGTCTTGCTGGCTTCTAGAATCAACCCTCTTTTCCATATTCTTACTATCATCTTTGTATTCAGTAGCTACTGTAAACCTAGGAATTATCTATTGCTCTCTAAAAAAAAATGCCTGACATTTAACACCTTAAAGCATTATCTGTGATCTCATGCTGTGTGCCTCTGACAGGGCCTCCTCATGTTGTAATGGGGGATGTGGGAATCCTAGGATCTAAAGACCAAGAGAATGGCTTCCACACTCACTTGCATGATTCTGTAAGCATATGGCCCTGTGTCTGGCTGCTCATCAAAGGCATTTGTTTGCCCAAAGGGCGGAGGGGGGAAGTGATTTGGAAAGAGAGAGATTAAAATGCATGCAGTAGGGTCTGCATGGCCTGACTCAGAAGTGACATGCCTAGACTTCTATCACACTGCACTGATCACATAGACCATCCCAGTACACTGAGGCAAGTGCTTCATGGGTGACCAGAGTGAGAGATCATCAGACACACTGTGAAGACAGCTACCGGTAAACACCAGCAGTAACTTGATGGGGACCTTCCTCTCTAATTTTCAGCATGTAATTGATGGTGGGAAAATGATACTGAGGGTGCTCTGTTTGTTCCATACTCCATTCAATTAACACTTAGCATCTGGATACTGGTGTGTGTGTGTGTGTGTGTGTGTGTGTGTGTGTGTGTGTGTGTGTGTGATCTATTTTGCATAACAAAATTCTTCAAAACTCAGTTGCCCTAAAATAATGCTGTTTTCTGAAAATGTCTGTGGGTCAGGAGTCCTTTGCTCAACATCCTGGTTCTGACTCAGGTTCTCTCTTAAGTTTGCAATCAAGTTGTAAGCAAGCAACTTCTTGGGGAACTGGAGGATGCACTTCAAGATGGTCCAGTGACATTGTGTCACTTTGCTGGCAGCCTTAGATCTAGGCAAGATTCTTAAGTAAGACCACCTGCATCCGAACATAAGGCTATCCAACA